ACAAAGAATAATTTTCTTCGAGTTGATGTGTGTTTTTTATATGTACTTAAGTTCAAGAATTCAGTATAGTAAAACCTTTTTATTGTAATGAACAAAATGTCGTTTCCTTAACGTAAATAAGTATCAACAAGTAAATAAGACTAAGAAGGATGATTAGATGAAGGGTATTATTTTGTCGAACTTACGGTTTATGATTAAAAATATGTTTACTTTGTATCAGAACACCCAACATTTGAAATTATCAACATAAATGCAACCGTTCGATGGTAGCTGTTGTTTTAGATAAAATATAAGTAATCCGTGGTTTCAAAAGCAACAGGTTAATAATACCAGATTGAAATAGACAATTTGAACTTTTACAAGAGATTAAATTAGATATGAGACTAAGACCCTCGTTTGTTTTATTTTTACTTAATATTGTGATGAAGTCAAAGTAATAAAATGCGACTACCTTTTACTTCCTAAATATTCCCAACCAACTAGTGACGCCATTGCATCTCAAACTGTGATAAACTTATCATACCTTAAATGGGGAAAGAGTGAACACTTCGTCCAAATGAATAAATATTCCCAGTGTAATTTTATTGTATCAAACCATTTTGAGTCTTTTCCAGAACTATAACAATATGTTACAAACCGATATCATTATCTGTCGCAGATGAGTTGCAAACTAAGCAATTTAAAAGCAAATCATTAGCCATCTCATACTGTAGACGTGTTGGCTCACGTGATATGTAAACACGTTGGAAATGTGAAACTCTTCAAGCTCCATTTTGCTCATATTGGATAACAAATTACATACTATAACCAGCTGCGAACTATAGTTTTGAGCTAGATCACCTTCCATGAGCCCAACTAAGTCGATAATACAGAATGTTATCAAATGACTTTTATGTCTTTAAGGAGGGCGATAGCTTGGTATAGGTTTTCTTTATATACATATTCCGAAATTACAGTTGTCAGCTTGTCAAGGTATGTCATTTTGAATACAATATGAGCAAATAGTATTTTATATTTCAATCTACTCTATAGCCAGGTGAACCAAACTATCTGAACAAGATAGCTTCGAAAAGTGATTGATTGGGAGTTACAAGTGATTATCTGTCTAGACTGTGAACCCGAAGCTTCATTCTTCACAAACCGTTGCCTTAAAACGCATGCCGCACTTTGGGGACGTGGGCTTGCTATAAGAATGGCTGGCAAATCCCACCCTTTGATATGACAAGAATAGCTCAAGTGTTGGAGGTTGATGCTGCTCAGTAGCTGCCATCCCTCTAGTCTGTCAATTCAAAATTAGTGACGGCTGAGTCTGAGTAAATTCTATGTAGTTTTGCGTGAAATTCTGAACCGACCAAACAAAAGAAAGGGTAAACAGATGTACATGTAAATAAAAGATATGCAAGATTTTAACGTTTTTTCTAAGTGCTGTGAAAACTCGGTTTATGTACATCAAGGAAAATGTTCTGACTGTATAATTAGGCTGTAGTAATTTTTGAAAAAGTTTCTTTCAAGTGTATGGGCAGTTCTTTATTATGCTAGACCGAAAACAGGTTTGTTTAAAAATATATACTTTGATATAAGATTATATTTATAAATGTAATGTTACGAATAAGGTTATTGCAAAACGCCTATTCAGTCATATTAGGGGCTGGCATGGCCTGGTCGTTAGGGAGCTCGACCTGCAATCTGCGGGTCGCGAGTTCAAATACTTTTACCGCATATGCTCGTCCTTTCAGTTGTGGGAAAGTTGGAAAATGACTGTTAATTCCATTTTTTCTTTGGAAAATGAATATTCCAAGAGCTGGCGGTGGGTGGTGTTGACTAGCTACCTTCCATCTAGTCTATTACTTTTAAATTAGAGACTGTTAGCGCAGATAGCCCTCGAGTAGCTTTGCGCGAAATTCAAAGATCAAACAGTCTAATTAGGTCCTTACTTGTATACTAACTATCAAGAACTTCACGTGTGGTTAGTATTATTGTTCTTCAGAAGTATTTCTATCATGTGCAATGTCAATATGAATGGAGAAGGCAGACTTGGCTTAAATATCAAGTATGTTTCAACTCCCTATTGGTTGGTAAATACCAAACAAAAATAAAATAATACAATGATCTTTACTGTAAAGCATTATGGCGTTTAAGAGCATAAAACTGTTAGAAAATGTAGTTCTGAAAAGAGAAAACCACATCTTAGTGTGTGATTTCGTTCGCTCACATCTACCTGCAATGCATGTTCATGAATACATCATATTACAATAACACAAATGGAGTGTGTATCTTTTTATCACGGATTATTACATAAAATTTATATTGGTATATATAAAACTTATTAAAAAAATTACAAAGAAACTATCTTTTCATTGAAAATTTTCAGTTGAACTGATCGTTGTAGTTTCTAGTTATTTCTGTTTCAAGTAACAGCTATATTTTGGTTGCAAAATTAAAGGATAATATATGTATATATATGCCACGATTAATTTTACTAAATGTCAGATCAATCTAGAAAGAAAATTATTAAAAAAACGGGTTCTCATCATATTCATATACGCAATCCAAATTATCTTATTGGAGCTAGCTTTTGACTCGCATCAAGAGTCGTCATCAGGCTTAATGAACTGAACATATATATATATACATACAGTTGTAGTGAAGAACGTTTAAAAGGACAACGCTTAGCTTGTTTCGAAACTTTTATACTTTTATAGTATTACCCACATTACAATATGAGAACTTTTCAACTGAAACAAACCTGTCTAACAAATTTTGAGCTATTTACTAAAAGAAAAGTAAAAATTGTATAAGCCAGTGCAAGGCGAGATGAAACTTCCAAAACTCAATGTATTAATACTGTGGCTACAATATAAACGATATTTTAATACCACTTGTATAGAATTTAGCTAAATACATTTTAAAACTGTTTTTACATATATTTTGTGATAATGATAAGCTTTATCGTAACATTTGCAACCTGACTAGTAGTTTTACTTATGGAGAACGTTTTTATTATATTATAAGGTGCGATTCTCATGCAAATGTTTTCATGATTTTAAAATAATTTAAAGAAAGTTTTATAGATAAACTTAGAACGTTTGAATGCTATATAAGAATGACCTTTTTCTAGAAAACATTAAACCTGTATAGAACAAATTAAATGAAAAGATATTTAAATTAATATAATATATATCTTTCAAATTTCCGTTATAAACTAACAATTATAGATGCAATTGTCATTCGTTATATAAGTGTCCTTGTTAATCAGCTACTCACTTTGTAGCTTAATTTTCAACTTTTGTTTTTAGCAAAAAAGGTCAATAGAAATTAATGAAAAAATTAAGACAAAGACCTGGAATAGTGAACCATAAAAAGGTAGATAATTCGAGATTTTAGATATTTTTTTAATTTATGTATCTATTTATCAAAGCATCTGTTATGACTGAGAATAAGGATATATGTATAGATACAAGAATGATTGTAGTATCTCTTTGTCTGTTTTGAATCTCGCGCAAAGCTACACGAGGGCTATCTGAGCTAGCCGTCCCTAATTTAGCAGTGTAAGACTAGAGGAAAGGCAGTTAGTCATCACCACCCACTGCCAACTCTTGGGCTACTCTTTTTACCAACGAATAGTGAGACTGACCGTCACATTATAACGCCCCCACGGCTGAAAGGGCGAGCATGTTTGGTGTGACGGGGATTCGAACCCGCGACCATCACATTACAAGTCGAGCGCCCTAACCACCTGGCCATGCCGGGCCGATTGTAGTATCGGAGAGTGCGCTAGTCATCGGGATTGTCTTCTCTAGAGATCATCAGTAGCTAAATATGAAGAGCTACCTGGCATAGTCGCTCTATCTCTGGTGTATATGCCGCTTTTCAGATATCCAGAGCGTTTTAAAGTTGAAAACGGGCGAACAACCAAAACCGAGATTTCTTATTTTCGTTTGTAATCATCTTTCTTCAACAGGCATAACGCATACCTAGTTCTAGCAGTAACTATAAATTTATTATCATATGATAGAACACAACAATCTTCACGATCTTTAGCTACCTATTTTATTATTATTCGATGCAATATTTAAAAAGAAAAGAAAAAAGCGTAATTTTAGTGTAAACGATATTAGTATCCCTTGAAGCTCGCTTTACAGAAATCCGTATTATTTTAAAAAGCTTAAGTATAGGGTAAAATTGAAATAGGAATTATCAGACAATAATAGAATCTTATAAAAAAGTAAACAAACAAATATTAGGAAAACAAATTATCGCTAAATACAAAAGCTATGTAGGGCTGGCTACTGAACTTGAAAAAAGGACCAAACAAGATAGGGATAGAAGTGGACATATCACTTGATCCGGCTAATGATCACATAGCAGACTAAGCCGTCTCCACTTTACCTGGAGAATAAAATCCTACATTACTGGCTTTTCCACTTTCTCTATCGATAGCTTGGTGTTTGAATAGAATATCAGCTTTCATCATTATACCTTTCTATTAGTTAACCTTAGAATACTACTTTTATGAGTATTTTACAATAGAGTAACATTTTACGACTGGAAATTCTAGTTCTATTTGTTTTGCTAGTGTGGAAGCCAGTAATTTAAGGATTTTATTCTCCATGTAAAATTGAGACGACTTAGTCTGCTATGTGATCATTAGCCGTATCAAGTGATATGTCCACTTTCATCCCTATCTTGTTTGGATCATTTTTTTCAAGTCCAGTAGCCACACCTACATAACTTTTTTTATTTAGCGATAATTTGTTTTCCCGATACTTTATGATATTAGTAGTATAATATCAACATTAAGGGACCTGAAAGTTACTGAGACACAAATGTAGGAAAATAAAAGGTTATGAATTTCAGGATATATATTTTTAATATAAGGTTGGAGTATTAAGTACTTTCTTATATTTTACCTAAAAAAGAAATTATAAAGTAATTTTAGAAGACAAATAAAACTACTAAATAATAAGCATACGATCATATAAATTCCTAATTATTCTTACCTTTAAGAGTTAATAATCCAATGCAAACAACGGTCCAAACAGTTTGAAAAGACATCATTGTTTAAAAGTTGTTAGTATGAATTTGCACACAATTCGATAAATATGTGTAAGATGTTCTGATGTATAGGTTATCGAGGGCCAGAGCTGTTTCTCTTCAGGTAGTTTTCTCCGGAGCAGGAACCCAATATGTACGATGAAAGAAGGAAGTCCTCAAGAGTCTGTTTCATTCGGCAGGCTCACTCATTCTGGTCGAGGTAACGAGGATACACGCGTTACAAGCTGGCTCTCTTTACCAGCGGCAAAATACTCGAACTTAATATAAGCTAAATATATAATAAAATATAAAATATTTATAAGCAGAAGATCTTGTGATTAATGTAATGTGAAAGTATCAGAATGAACTGAAAGGAATTAATTCATAATGTCAGTACCAACAAAGGAATGAAAAAAATTAATGCGCTTTTAGGTTCACGTATTTTCAATATAATTAGATGTCAACAGTTGGTAGTAACTAAATACTTAGCGAAATACAACACACTAACAAATATAAAAGGAAGAGAATATTTCTATTCGGATGGCTCATCTTCATCAGGAAAGATGAAAACGTTCTGTACCATGGACTAAAGGCAAGCTGTGTGGCCATTGAAAAGTCATAAATAATTTTTTTCTTGTCGTTTATGTAGAATTTTTGTGATATATTTCTCTGTTTTGACCATCAGATTTGAGATTTTCTTCCCCAAAACCTATTCACTGATAAACAAAACACAACTAGTAATACCCTTGCTTAGTTGTTGGACAATTTACATAGGCTGTGTCCATGGAAATAACAACTAGAGTTGTTGGACAATTTACGTAGGCTGTGTCCATGGAAATAACAACTAGAGTTGTTGGACAATTTACGTAGGTTGTGTCTACGGGAATAACAACTAGAACTGTTGGACAATTTACATAGGCTGTGTCTACGGGAATAACAACTAGAACTGTTGGACAGTTTACGTATGCTGTGTCCATGGAAATAACAACTAGAATTGTTGGCCAATTTACATAGGCTGTGTCCATGGAAATAACAACTAGAGTTGTTGGACAATTTACGTAGGCTGTGTCTACGGGAATAACAACTAGAGTTGTAGAACAATTTACGTAGGTTGTGTCTATAGAAATAACAACTAGAGTTGTTGGACAATTTACATAGGCTGTGTCTACGGGAATAGCAACTAGAGTTGTAGAACAATTTACGTAGGTTGTGTCTATAGAAATAACAAC